TCCTGCTAGTGTAGCTAACATGGTGTTGAGAGACTTTAGCTTCTCCGACCCTCACCCGTGGAAGTGTTCCGATTTTGTATAGTGACCTTGACAATCATGGAAGTCAATGTATCATGATGACAAGTAATGATCAATAGCAGTAGTAGTAGTAGCAAAAGCAGCAGCATTAGTAGTAGTAGTAGGAGTAAGAGTTGCAGTATTAGTAGTAGTAGAAGTATTAGTAGTAGCAGCAATAGTAGTAGCATTATTGTTAATATTTTTATTACTAGTAGTAGTTGTAGTAGCAACAGCAGCAGCAGTAGTAGCAGTAGTAGTAGTAACTGGTTTCCAGAGTAGCTGGACATATACTACCATAGGCTGAGCCCACAGACCATAGTTTGGTTAAAAGTGACTAAGCCAGACCCCAAAACTGGACAGTTTATGCGGTGGGTGACAAAAGCACCAGGGCCCAGTACGGTGCCCAGATTAGTCCCAGCTCTATAATTAACAATTTACTGCAGAGCATCATCAGCAAAGCGTAGAGTAGTAAGAAGTCCGTCTGGGCTCCAGAGCTGGAGTTTCTGGAGGATTATCCAAACACTGTACAGTCATGAGCAGAGCTGCACCCTGTTCAATAAAACTTTGACATTTAACAAAAGTGATTCAGGTCAGAACGCCTTTCTGAAACAGCGGTAAGTGGCTGCAAGAAGCTGAGACAAAAACACAGTTGCCCAGGTTATGTTCACACGCAGATATGTCAAGTGGGCCCACTTGTTTTATCTACGTGGGAAGTAGAGACATTGCTGTGTCGATGGTTTGGATTTAAAATAACTGGAAATTAGTTTCCTCCTCCACCGATCTTTTAATTTGACATTCCTCTACCAAGTAACATTCTTCTGGCATTCACCAATTCCTGGCAATCTGTCCATACGGCTGTCAGACAGGAGAGAGCCAAGCTGTCCAGAGGCAGCAGAGATCACACCTCTTCATCCAGCCGCTCCATCAGGCTTATGAGAAAAAAGTGTCAGTCCCTAAAAATGAATGTTTAAAGTCAGGGAGAAGAGGATGAACTACTCGCAAACTACTTTTCTAGAAATCCTGCCCACAGCTTTAAGTTGAAAGCATATAAAAAGTAAAGCCTACAGTAGTTGTTTGCTGTACCATCTGTGTGGTCCCAACAGCACATCTGTCCCACTGATGTGTCCACAGAGCAGTGATGAGGGGCCCTGCAGCTCCAGGGCTGCAGTTATAGATTATATGTGATGCAAACTGTATCAAAAGGTTTATTACATTTCAGTGTGACCTCTGAAGCCCACAGCCTCGGTCTATTTCACATTAATCTCTTAAAGAAATAAAAAGTATTACCAAAGTTAGACATTTAAGTTTAGGAATTGTGGTTTAACATAATGAAAAAGTCGGCGCAAGCATAGTTATACTAATCCATGCTGAACTGACGTTTCTTGGAACTAGCTGGAAACTAACTGTGATCATTTCTATCATGGGAAAAACAACTGTAGATTGTATTATATTTAAAAATTCAACTTACATACTTTACACTGTATTAGATTATAACCGTTACACAGTTTAAAAAATAGGTCTGAGTTGGATTTGAAGGCTTTCTCTTTCTGCACCAAAGTTGATGGCGAAACGCTTATATATATATATATATATATATATAAATTACATCATTTAACTCATCACTCCTCAATGGTTGTAATTAAAACCACTGGAAATAATATAAGGACTAATGCCATAGTGCTACAGAAGAATTATATTGTTTTCTGAAAGTTTTTGTCAAATTTTTAAAAAAAATAGAACTAGATATATTGTTTTCTGAAAGTTTTTGTCAAGTTTTTAAAAAAAATAGAACTAAGAAAAAATTGGGCCTTTAGTTTTTGCTTTATAAACACATTTTATGGTCCAACATCTTTGCATAGTGTGTCAGACATTTATTCATCATTTTTGTTTTTTGTTAAAATTAAGACTAAGTACTGTAGTCTTAAATGTACTTGAATTAAATGTCTTTTTCCTCAGTATACAAACTCATCTGTCGTTGTCCTCAACAACACAACATGCGGCGACAAGAACGATCTGAAACTTCAGCGTGGTAAATTGTCATTTCAAAACAACAACAGTACAGTACACTGGCCTTGAAGTTGTGTACCGTAGAAAATTGACGAGCAGAGTGAACACACACACTCTGACATTTATCTGGGAGAGTTTGTGTTTTATCTGCTGACACTATAGCTTCTGGCTCTCTGATCCAAATGAGTCCCCTAGTATACATAATCCATTATCATAAATCAGACGCACCAACACAGACAGGTGCTGCATGAATAATTAAAGGTCGGTACATTAGCACAGACTAAAAGCACTGATGCTAACACCCCTATATCTACTTTAAACAACCAACTGCTCCAATTACTGATCCGAACTAACCACGAGTTGGAGTGAAAGACCCCTCCCATCAGATTGTAACCGTCTAAACCCATGAGAGGGAGAGATAGACGGTGCTCTGAGCAGTGTTCGTTCTCGGTCCTATCTGAGCAGTTGGCTTGGTCTGAACCTGAGCAGCTGAGCTCCGTTACTCTGTCTCTGTAACGGAGAAGCCGAAGAGCTGCAGGCAAAGCAAGCAAAAGGTCTGCTCAGGCAAGAAGGCTTTAAGACTATGGATCCCCATTCTAACATTAATTACGCTTCAGGCAAATACGTTTGGACTTCTGCCCGGCGAGAGATAAGGTTTCACTGCAGCCCAGACAGGAGAGCAGCCTGAGAGAGAGAATCTCTTGGTGCAGCCGCGTTCAGCTCTGCAGTGGTTTTACAGGATGAAACGCTGTCTGTGCAGAACGTGCTGCATTTCATCAACTTTTTTAGCGCATGAAATGCCTCGCTTAAATAATGCAGACCACCCAGACCAACTTTACAAAACGTCAACTATTCTTAAGTATTGTAGGTCAGGAAAAAATAAAAGTATAAAAATAAATGTCTTAGATTCAGCAAAGGAAGATATTTAGGTTTCTTCAATTCCTGCCGGTAGTGTATCAGGGTCATGTTCAACTAAACAGGGTCATGTTTCACAGTGAGTAGTTACGTTGTGATCAATATTTTGACTTGTTTTGTTTGTGGGAATTGTACTCAAAAGATAACTCCAAGAAGAAACTAATAATATTATTAAATAATAATTAAAATAAGCTTTGTTTTTTAAATGTTTGACTTTGTTGACTAAGAAACTCCAGCTTTGACAGACTGAACTTTGGAGAAATACAACACTTAAATTTACTCCCAGCCCTCGTGTGGTTATTTATACTCAGAGACAGGAATCACAAACAGAAGGTTTTTTTTGAAAAATATACATCACATTTATTTGTACTGACACCAGGAGTCGGTACACTTGTCTTTGTCTACTGATGTGTTGTGGCACAGGTAAATCAACCTATTGCCTACCTCCATACATCCAAACTGTATCAACAAGCATTGGTTAATCGCTACCAAAAAACAGAGTTTGACAGAGCGGACACACACCACTGTTTTTTTTTTTCTCTAAAGGTAACACAATGTACAAAAAGCAAGTCTGGAAATAGTAAGATTCTCGGTTCCATAAAAAACTTTTTGTCCCTCCTCCAAGTGTGAATAAGAAAACAATGCACTTATCTCTACTGAGCGTCTGCTTCGTTGCTTGTTGGGCAGCCGAGGGGTAAATTGATGCAGATAAGTAATGAGAAGAAACCAGCTGCTGATCCCTGTCCTGCTACCACAGCAGCTTTCAAGGGTTGTTGACACTCTGAAGAACAGCAGAGCAGTCAGGGAGCCTGGAAGTTCTTGGACAACGCAGGCAAACATGTTGTCAAAACAAAAACACATCATCCCTATAAAGTTCGTACACTTTCTCAAAAAGCAATGAAATTTAAAAATCTGTAATGTGGTAATACAAACGGACCTCCGTTTATCAGACAAATGACAATGTTTCTTAAAAATAAACTATAATTGTTGAGAAACTAAATTTGGAATAAGACTAGATTTGTTAGTTTTTGTCTCTATCTCCAGCCATTTGAATTCCTTTTAATGTAAATCTTTTTTCACAGGGCAACAAAAGAACAACCATAAATGTATGTGCCACAATATATATATATAGTGGCTTTATAATGGTGGGCCAACTCTAGTAAATATAATTACACCAGGTGCCAGATTTAGGCAGCGGGCCTGAGTTTGACTGTGCTTTAAAAAATTTAGCTTAAAACACACTCCAAAAAGGTACAGAATTAGAGATTGCCATTTACTGCAACGAGCTGTGCAACCGTCACACTCTCCTCCTTAAGTTCAGTGTCTCATTTTCTTCACTGGTAGTTTATTAAAGTAGGTTCACAATGTCAGCAGTTTGACGTTTTTTTTTTTTTTACCAAAGTTTTTTTTTTGTCAAAGTCAGGGCTTAATGTGAGATTTGTTCTGTAATGATACGGGCAATTTAATAATAGAACCAAAGACGTGTGATTGCACTGAACATATTTGCTGAGTTTACACCTCACCAAGACACCTTTTTTGTTGAGCCTTTAAAACCTTCACTGTGTTAATTTTCTTTATCAGACACTTTGTGGAGTGGAAAGCAGCAGACAGTGTTTTCAACTGAAATACCCTATCTGTGTGAAAGCTCTGTTCACTTTCTGTTCAGCTCGCCGTGCGAACTATACAGAGTTTTACTCTATTGTGTGTTTTTTTTAAATCATTTTTATTTATTTTATCATCAGATGTATCGTCCAGTGTGACAACATCAGTCTGAGGAATCATTACAGATATATTTGTTTCCATTTAAATGCAGTACTTTTAGTTAATGATGTTACAAAGATTGTTGGTTTCTGAGGTCAGTTACTCTTTTGAATAAGCCCACCAAAGGTTTGGAAAGCAAAAGGCACACAACAATTTTTTTTGCAAAGTTTTCTTAGCACAGGCTGGTTTAAGATGATTGAAGCCTGGTCTGATAATTTATACCAAGAGAGGCAGGAAAAGACAGGAAAATACGCACCAGAATTTAATGAACAAAAATGACCAAAGCCAGGAAGTAGCCATGACATGAAGGATCTGTGTTGTAAATATGCCTTAGGAATTAAGAACTTTGAACTACTGTATAAAGACAGAAGCCTTCGTCAGGGTTGTCATATTTTCAAGGAACTTATCGTTTTGTTAGAAGAACTACTGAAATACTAGTAAAAATGTAGCTTTTATAAAGAGGGTGTTTCAGGCATTAATGGTTTAACAAATGAATGTTTAAAGGATTGAGAATGAAGACATTTCTTTGTCATCTGCCTCATGAACTAAGGTTGAAGTGCATAACTAAATTACAGATTTTAGATTTCATTGCAAGTGTAGAAAATGTATTATTTTTATAGAAATGTGCTTTGTAAATCATTTTGTTTTTTCCTCCAATACACTGCACATTACAGTACAAAACTACCATGAAAAAAGTCAAATCCTTCTTCCGGAGTCTGAAAACAAAACCAAAAGGAGTAAAACACAAGAGTAAAAAAAAACTGAGAGGAGCTGTGTGGTGACTGGCAAACTCGACCCCCTGCGGCAGGCCCCAGGTCCTCTGAACGGGTAAGGCCAAAGCAAGCAGACAGTCAGAGGGAGGGAGAGAGGGAGGGAGGCAGAAAGAACTGTTGGCTCCCTCCGTGAACATGAGGATGGCACTGTAGCTTCACCAGGAAGCTGAAGGCACCAGTAGAACCAGGAGCAGTGCTGTCAGTGTAAAGCTCTGTGGCCGGCTGTGCACCGAGCTCTGGTTGCTTTTCGCTCGAACACCTAAGAGAAAAGGAGGGAGGAGGGGTTCAAGGAGACAACGCTGATTAAACAAAGAGGTTGAACAGACCACTGGAACTGAATCCATTTTTAATGCTATTAATTCAATGATATTTTTAATGAATTGCTGTTCAGGAATGTGGAACTATAGATACAGTTACAGTACAATTTCTGGGGAAGAAGAAAGACAATGGGGGACAGAGAGAAAACAGAAGTCCTCCGCCCTGAAAAGCTGTCTGGTCGTGTTGCACACTGTGCTGCTAACTTCCCATTCGTCCTGTTGCTTAGAAGTTAATTGGCTGTGCGAGAATAGGAACATTTGTGTGGGCGAAGTAATTAAAAGAGTATTAGCCAAGACAAACTTGGCTCAGAAGGCGACTGTGGCGACTCAATTAAGTACAGAGCATCGGATCTGTAGAAAGAAAGAAACGGCCTGTGCATATGGGACCGGATTTGAATGGCCATGCCAGAAAGGAGCGTAATAGAGGAGGAAGCAAACCAGTGATGGTCTTACCAGAGGAGGTGACGATTCGAACTTGAGAGCTGACAGCTCCTTCTCCTCCTTCACTGAGGGCGCGTACCTCAATCATGTAGGTGCCGCCCTCTGGCAGTGACAGCATGGTAGAAGGGTTAATTGTTCTTGTCACCTGATTGTGCCCTCTGCCCTCCTGTATGACTGACACCTGCAGGACCACCACATAATACAGAAACCACTTAAGCAGTATTCTATATGTGCAGCACATTTAAAAAAAATGCTTGATGCTGCAGTCTCCTTCTCCAGACATATTACTAAAATATCTCATGGTCTGTAAGAGGGTGAAATACTCTACCTAGCTTCTAACGACAGCATAGTGCTGTGACCAAGGGTCTTAATATGATTGGGTCATGCTATTTTACATCAGTTTATTCAAACATACAATTCAAGCTTTACAAATAAATGCATCAACATGTGACAACTAGTTAGCATAACTACAAGCTTATCCAATCAGAACAGGTGCGGACAAATAAATGAAAAATCAGGAAATAAAAATAACAGCTAAAACCATTCGGGGGCTTTGATCCACGACAAAAACAATCAGAAAGACAACAGTGGAAGGACTGTATTACCAAGTAGCCAATGACATCAGATTCATTGTCTTTCGCCTTCACTGGCTCCCAGCTTAGAGAGACATTGTTGCCCTCCTGAATCCACATGAGGTTGGCTGGAGACTGAGCAGGAGCTGTAGAGTGAATACAAAAGTCATTTATTACAAATTGTAGTGCAAGATTCAGGAAAAAAAGTTGAACAAACTAAATCATCCGCAACTCATTTGACCAGAAGGTTTAAAGCAGTGGTTGTTCAAAAAGGGCTGCACTGGTCACGGCCAATTTGTCTTTATGAAGAAATCCATTCTGTATAGAAATATTTCAGTAATAAACAAAGCTGTGTTATGGCCTGGACTTTATACAGATTTATTCCCATATTTTTTGCCTGAGTGGTATCACGGAGTTTACAGTGGTACTTGATGGCAAACCTGGTTAATATTCTTGCTCTCCTCATATGTCTAACTCTGTGGAAAGCAATGGTTAATGGTCTGTTCTAGCCTTGATGACCACTCAAAGCACTTTACACTACATTCCGTTCAACTATTCACAACCTTTCTATCTCACACTTGTACAGTGTGTCTGTTTTCAGTGCTGCAGCTTTCACACACCTGTGTTCACGTCAACGACCGCAATCTATTCCAGCAAAAAATCACTGATTTAAAGCAAACCTTAACGATTACATCTATTTCAGAAGGCTCAGTACTTACGATCTTTTTTAGTCCTGGCTGTAACAGAGGAACTTGCCGGGCTCTGGCCGATGCTGTTGAAGCCTTTTACAGTGATGGCGTAGAGGCTGTTGCCTTCGAGTTGAGTCAGGACGATGGAGGTTTCGTTTTTCAAAGTCTTTTGTTTCCTCCCCGACTCCTCCTGCTCTACGTCTTTCCAATAGCTGACCTTTAGATAGGAAATTTGGTGACTTTGTAAGAAAATATGTGCTGCTGCAAAATGCCACACACTGTATTTTAATGCTCCTGAGTCCATGCAAAAACAGAACAAGAAAAAAGCTGTGTAATAAAACCTCATATCCTCGAGGTCGACCGGGACCAGGGTTGGGGGGTTTCCAGGTGACTCTAATCTGTGACGCGGAGATGCTCTGGGCCTTCACATCTGTTGGTGCTTCCTTGGGTTCTGTGGAGTTCAACATGGTGACAGTCAGTAATATGGTAACATATTACAAAACTGCTCTCAGTGCGGGCTTGATATTCAGCTCCAACTGAATGTGTACAGTAAATACTCACCTCCCTCTGCTGAGTGGATGATAACAACCGGGCTGAATGGCCCATCTCCTTTATTGTTGTACACGCCCACCTTCACTTCAAATGGAGTAAGGGGAGGGAAGGTCTCGTCCCTGTATTTGTATGTGGTGGAATCGGCTGATGTCACCATCTTCTCCTTCCATCCTCTGGTCCCGTTGGCACGGAATGCAACAATGTACCCAAAGCCTTCGCCGTTCTGGAACTCCTCAGACACGGGCTGGAACGACCAGAGTGAAACACTAGGTGAAATCCTGTTTTTTTAGCACAAGGTGAAGTTGTTTTTTCCCCCTCATTTGACCAGCTTACTCAGTGCAAAAAGCAATTTCATTTGGCTAAAGGGAGACATGTATGACTTTCCTCCGTGGTAGTTATATATAACCAGTTTTCAATTTCCTACTCATTTACTCTATCTGTCTGCCAGTGTTAATAAAGATACGGAAACACCAGAGAAATGGAAACAAATCACATTTGGTTAAGAGCTTCTTCATAATGTTGCAATACATAAAAGGGGAGATTTTAGGACGCCGTGTCCTGGCCTCGGTGCTGTTCTGTGGACGTCCCCGTGTGAGGAAATTAGGAGCTTTCTTCCAAAGCCACTTCGTGCTTAATCAGACCAAATGGCAATTGATTAAAGGGCTCAGATTTAATTAAAACATGAGCAGTGTGGATTAAATGTGTTAGCTAAACTTAAATAACAAACACCTGTTCACCTGGTTTTTGGCAACACGTCTGCTGCTCACACTGTAATGTGCTAATTTGCCTCGGTTTAGAGAGAATATTGTCCCCCTAAGGCATCACCAAAATTACTCAGGCAACCTACGGAGGGAGTGGTGGAGATGTGGTTCACATTTCAGTCAACAACAACCAATCATCGAGTCGCTAATTATAGAGATGATTAGCAAGGAAATGAATGAGCTTCCATCAAAGTTATAACCAAAGCAAAATCTACTGTTAGGGATGTGACAGGGATGATAACTATTTTAAAAACCTGCACAAACACCTGCAGGTCTGAGAACAGAGACCGTAAGAGGGCTGATATAAGTCTTGAGGATGAAACTGCGGGGCCTGTTGAGCTCAGGGACGGTGACTCTGAGGGCATCACTAATGGTCCCTGCAATGGCTCCTGAAGAAATAGCAGTCACTAACAGTCGCCTCTAATGAGATGGCTGAATGAAGCTGCGGAGACTGTTTAGCCATTCATCCTGCTTAATAACCCTGCCGACCAAGCTCCGACAACTTTTCACAGATGATTGGAGAGGCGGATCTGCCGTGTGCTCACATGGCTCCGATGCCAAAAAAGGTTTAACATCCCTGCTCCGTCTCCTTTAATAACCATCTCCATTGATCACAGACGGACTCCTGATTTTTTTTTTCTTTCCAAAAAATGTTTAGCAGAAAAGAGGAGAAATTGGGCAGAACTAAAATGACTTCAAATACCAAGTACCAAAAGCAGGCCACTGCATCTAAGTAGAACATCACAGCATTAGCCGCTGAATCTGACAGGCCTATTGATAGATGGCATCTTTTTGTTTCATAAAGTGGACAGAGGAAGCATTACTATGAGAAGTACATCAATTGTTCAGGTATTTTTTTTGTGCTTGGTTGAACTAAAATGATTAAAAACAAATGTGGAAATAAAAAAAAAAACACTCAGCTTCTTGCTCTTAAAAACAGCAGTTTGTTATAAATCACTGATGTATAACAATGTGTTTAATCAAAAGCCATTCATTTTCATTAGGTTGTCCTGTTCATTGTTGTAAATGTCTTATTAGGCAATTGCAAGGCAGCGTAAAGGATAAAGACATGTAAAAAGCAGAAAGATGTGGAATGTTTTTTTTTAAGAAATGGTTGATCTGCTGTCACAACAATCCCTTTTTTTATTAAAATAATAAAAGGTGTCAAAGGTCAGAACCATATTGTCACCCCCCATATATATTTAAATATATATATATGCATATGCAGTATATATATATTCACAGCACGTATAGATGGGAAGTGATGCCTTTTCCATGACCATACACAGATTGACATGACCATCAATATACCACACCTGCTCTGCAAAAATTATTTTATCTAACATGGACCATGACCACAGTATCCAATCTTTTAATGGCTACATCAGAGGACTGGTCAACAAAGTTCAGAAAACCTTTAATTGGTTTGTTGACCATGATAATTAGTCTAATGTACTTAAGTTCCCTCCAAAGTCATTAGATTTCAATCCCGTACAACACATTTGGGATTGTGATTATGTGAAGGTGACAACTTTTCAGCAACTCACAGTGATATTTTTGGCATATTTTTCTCATCAATGTCACAAAGCAGGAGTTTGTCATGTTAGTGAGGCAAACTGTATCTAAGGAAATGGCCATCCGCTGACTGTTTTCTGTTCTGGCCCAGAGACTTCTGTATGTTTCCACAATGAGGTTGTCATTGGGTTAAACTAGCCATGTTAATGACACTCATGAGTTATAAATAGGTAACGGTCCACAGCTAAACACCCGCCCATCTGGACGGGGTATTATTCCCTGCACTCTGGCAATGAGGTGCACTTCTGCTCATGTCAAGGTTATCGTCCCAGTGGCAGTTTGGCTCCCATACTTCATAACTGCAAGTTGCTTCCACATCTGTTCACCGTTCCAATGTTAATTTATTCTTCAAAATGATCTCACTTGCAAATGTACAGCTGTACCGATAGCAACGCTGTAACAACCAGTGTCCAGAACTGAGCCAAGGTGTCCATTTGGAAACAACTGACAAAATATCTTCTTCACTCAATGTTGGATTTATTACCTTTTTTTTTCAGCCATTTTAAGTGTTCAAGTAGACGTTCATAAACAGTACTGTGGTTATAAGGAATGAATCCACGATTCAAGCTCGTTTGTTGTGTAAGAGTCGCTTCATCTCACGCTCTCTTAGTTTAATCAGCACAGGTTAAAATGTGAAGCATGTTATTCCATCAGAGAGCAACGGTGCCTTCACACAATACAGTGTGAATCTGATTACATTTAAATAGTGATGATTTTAAGACTGTCTGTTTCCTAACAGTATGTCAAAGATTAAACTTACACAATGTCTCTACAGATCTGCAAAACCTTGAAGTCAACGGTTAATGAACACCAATTACATCCAAGAAGTGTTTTGACATTCAGTGCAAAACGATGATCTGTAAATCTGCAGTCTGAATTGCAGACAATGACTGTTGGAATACTGGACATCTTAGTCTACCTCTTCTTTGTTTGTAACCCAAACTTTCAGATAAATGAATGGAGGATTTTCCAGCAATGTTGTTATCATTGGTTGGAGTTCTTAAAGACAAATGTGGTTATTTTTCCCCTTATCTTGTACCTCAGCTTTCTTTCAAAACATTCCCCTACCGTCTGTGTTCTTGTGGAAAAACCTGCGACTCAAGTGAAATAAAGCTTTTTCTCACCTGTCGGTGGATATTATCAGTCATCCGAGTCACGGTTAACTGAAAATGGCAAATTGATTCAACCCTTCTTGGCTCTTTCTCATCTGGTTTGTTCATCCTTAAACAGCTGAAGCCAGGTCAGTCAGATCAAATACAGAATTCAACGAAATCAAGTCAGAGAGAATGATACTGAGGACTGCAGCAGATGGGACTACACCCCCTCCCCCCCTCGCCCCCTTCTGAAATGGAAAAAGATCACATTGACACCATGGCTGATGCTCACCTGAGCCCTCTCACAAGTCAAAAACCCTGGCTTTTACAGACCATACCTCATCCTCTCTTATTCCAATAGATATATTGTGCATCACTTGACTTCTTCGATCCACAGGGTCATGGTTTTTCTGGGAGGAGAGTGCACCCACACCTGGACTAATCTATCTTTATCACTAGAGCTGTCGGGCTGACAGGTTGGTCAGCTGCAAAGAGATTTTGCAGAAATTTTATATTACATAGATAGAATTATATGAGCAATTCTTTAGCTATTTTAGTTAAATTAATTCTATACATTGAATTGAATAGAAATTAGTTATCAAAAAAAAAAGTTAAAATTTTTAGCATGCCCTGCAGATCCATTTGTCCGCAGGTCATCTTGACCAGGTGAACCAAATAATACAGTGTTTCCATTATTAATGAACCTGATCACTACTGAAGTGGTTGATGAGTGAACACCGACATGAAGGAGTTACGTTCTGTTCCACTCACCCCTCTCTTCTTCTCCTGTCAACTTCCAGCCAGTTAACTCCTGGTCACATTACTTCCATCCCTGCGTTAAGCTCCACAGGGTTTCACTGTGATAGTGAGTTAAAAAATCTCTTTTATCACAGTGCCACAGAACTTCCTGTTTCGGACACGAGCTGGTCCCTAATCCCTTGGCTTCGTTAATTTTGAAATACAGCAGCAGGTTCAACACTGCATATTTGCCCATATATTTAAAGAACATCTTCTGACCTTTTTCAGTTTCCTGTAACGTTCCCCTATGCTAATGAACTCCTCCAGTAAAGGTTAGGGATAAAGAAACAACAATGAAATGCACAGTTTTGATAGTGACTGATATTCCAGCACCTTCAGTGACTGTAACAATGAACACAGTCCTCCACTATTAAATCTTTGAAAAAACTAAAGGTTCATGGCTCAAGACAGAGTAATTCATGAAAATGTGTTTTAACAATAGCTAAAAGTAGAAGATAGAATTCTAAGAATGTAAGGCACCTGAACACCATGTGCAGCTGTGACTGCTGTCAGACTTTTTCCCAAGATATCTGAAGATATCTTTTGGTTTACAACACTTTACACTGGCATTTTAGATGAGTGATTAAATGAACCTCCTTTGGCAACTCTCTTATTCAGGGGTTGCCACAGAGGTGGCGTGAACTGGTATTTTGGCAAAATTAGGGTTGGGATTAAGGGTAAAAGCATGACTCAAACTACAGTGAAGGAGACCTACATACATAGATACATTTTTCTTCTAGGACATTCTTTATTGTTTTCCAGTAAAAGCCTTTATCACATAATGTAAACAATCCATTATTCTTCGCTTTCATCCCTTGTGTTTTCATCACCGCTGGCTCTGCTTTTTCAGTTTCACACTTAGTAATTACGAGGAAACACACAAGTACATCCCTCAAATGGGACTGAATTATTTAGCAAATCACATGGTCTAAATTGAGGATTAACATTATTGCTATTGTTTATTTTTCTTTCAGTCTTTGAAATGATTATTTTGAAATGATTATTTCCTTTATGAAGCCCATAAGGGAAGGGTGCATCCTCAATAGAAATCTTGTTGAAGGGACTGAAATAACTCTAATTTAATTACATGAGGCGTCTTTGAATTTTGTATTAGAATGGATGAGCTGAAGAATAATACTACACAATTTTGTATTTGCACTGCTTAAGGAAAAGCACCTTGTTCAGGTTTAAATTTTTGTTTCATTTCCTTTAAATAACGGAAACATGGTTTTGAAAACATTGTAATCACAAGGTCTCACAGCATCATTACTGTAAACAAGGTTAGTTACCTGTTTAACCTTGCTGGCACAGCTTGAACATGAGCGAGGGTAACATGTATCTTGCAAGGTTTATATATATATATATATAAAGTCTTAAATAAAAGTTTAGTTTCTCAGGGACACCTGTGTTTTCCTGGGCAGAAATTCAGCAGTTGACGACTCACCTCCCATGAGATGACCAGTTCATGCCTGCGGCCGTTTCCTCCACTCACGTTGGCCGGTGCTACAGAAGGAACTGTGGAAAATAACAGACAAGTTAATGATGGGTCAACATCAATGGTGTTCATGTTTTTTTTTTTAATTGACATTTAACAGACAGTTACAGTTACATATTCATGTTAGCATTATTTACATAATTTACATAATTTCCTGATAATGCTGATTATTGTTTTTTATTTCCCAAAATAAAGCCATTTTAAAATCTTTGTAAATATTGAAAACCATTTCTCTAATTTATTCTGCCAAAACATAACATAACAACATCAATAGTCTTGTATTATCCTTTAAAGCTTTCCTAAACTGATACGTTTCCACTTATTGACATAGCTTTGAATTACTGCATTTTCCGGACTACAAGTCGCACGTTTTTTCATCCTGGTTGGGTTTGCGACTTATACTCAGATGTGATTTATATATTAAAATATATAATTTCACGTGTTTGTTATTTTCACACTGACAGCCGCGAAAGGGAACTCTAGGCTTGTGTACTAGTATCTGCAACTCCTGTAAGTCACATTCTGGATTTTTAGTCCAGAAAATATGGTAGGCTAAAAACAAAGGAGAGCAAAGTCTGTGAATGCTGGTATGGAACGCATGGAACTGGATTAACACAACTGTGTGTAGATAAGGTTACTAATAAAGATCAAGAGATGGGAGGGAATGAAAAGCCCACTTCCAAGTAGCTGCTGAATTTTGTAATTATTGCATTTTCCAAATGGGCGAATAAACCATTTGTAAAGCTGAACTCTCAGGGAGTCTCAGGTCTCATGGAAAAGTCTGTTTGCCATAGTTATTGTATTTTGCTGGGTTTTTGCCTCAGGCCATCAAAGAAAAGGCTGCATTTAGAGAAAACTTTTAACAATTCCTGTAGGCAGTTACCGTTAAAGAGTCCGCTTGTTAAACGGAGATGCTAATAACGGAAAAATGAGAGAAGGCTATTCAGTTGCATAATGTAAACACAGGGCTTTACACTATCAAATAAATCCATAGACTTTGGGCGATTAGTCATGCCTGTCAAATTAGACTTGATTTTTCTAATGTATAAATATTTTACCTGCTTCTTTGGTCCGCACTGGCCTTGACGGTGCGCTGGGATCTCCGGTCCCGATTGCATTGCTGGCCACAACTCGAAACTCATATTCCACCCAGGGGTTGAGCTCCACAGCGATGGCCGCCTCCATTTCTCCTGTCACGGGGTCTGGGTCTGCACACAGAAGTGCTGCTCATGTATTTATAGAACAAACAGCATATTACAACTGCTGCACTTCCATTCAACTCCAGGTTTGTTTGACTGTGGATGGATCCATACTGTGTGGAACAAAGCCACAATCAGAGACCTTTAACTTTTATGGTTCCCCGTAGAACGATACAGGGGGAAAGTGATGCTGAACAAGCAGAAAGGCGAAGAGGGAATGTTTTTATGGACCACATTCAGAAGTTTTTCCCCGGCTGATGCAGTCATTTGACTTTAAAACAGTAACTAAGAAGGGTTTTTATTGATTATAAAAAATGGTTACAGCTCCAGATAGAGGCTGTTAATGAGCCAAGCCCATAACTGGGCTCTATAAACAGATTTTTGCATGTGGATAGGAAGACACTGCAGTTGTCAAACTGTGCCTGAGTTGTTGACCTCTGACCCCTACTTGTCCATAAAGTCGGCTGGGTCCAGTCCATCTATTCTCTACAGTTAGGCCTAGAGAGTGTTGTGGTAAAAAGGTCAGGTCAGCCCAGCTTGGTAACATTAGGACTGCGGTAATTTGACTAATAATGTTCGCTGTTGCCAAGCTCCTGGAAGATCTAGTCATCAGAGACACTCATAATAACCTTTCAATTCATAAAATGTCATTAAATTCCTCTTTTATCTTTTTAAATTGACAAAAGCGACGCCATCGTCTTTATAAGAAGACCTGCAGCCAGTGGACTGAAAGGAAATTACATTTTATGAATTAGAAATTATAAATAGAGTATGTGCCCTCTTTAACACTTTGTTCCCATTTAGAAAAAAAAAATACACCAAGTATCAGCAGATCACTTACCCAGCATCATACCCTGCATTTGTGAAGGATTATTTTTGTATAAATGGCCTACGTATGCACAACTTTAGACAATAACAAGTCTTGGTCACAGCTCCCACAGGGAGTCATTAACCTCCAAGTTTGTTGTGCGTTTTATTACAAGAATAAATAATTCAAAATGCAGTTGCAGATCCTGAAACTGGGGAATTACACTTTAACCCCAGCGCCATTGTTTAGTCATAAAATCTGTGTGTTGTTCTAAACAGATGAGAGAAGAAGTAATACTTTCCGCTTTATCCCAGACTCACTGTGTTTAACAGAACAGGTGGTGAAGAAAATATACCATATGAAGTCTTTATGCCTGAACAGCACTTAGACTTAGCAGCTTTGAAGAACATTGGAAGCTGACTTCAAACAGTGGCAACAACCTCTACTTCAGACTCGTAGCGCTACGAGATGTAACTGCAAAAGACAGCACGTGTTCTGTACGGCATTACAAGCAGGGAACACAACTGAGCTTGTTTTTTTTTTCAACAGGCTTTGTCAACACTGACGATATGATGACAAACAAACAGCGTCTGCAAATGTATCTGTGTCATAACTGAATGGCAGGTCTTTGTTCGCTGACGAGAGCCCCATTCAGCCAAGCGATTTGTGCACGTTCTTATCAACCAAAGCGCCTCACAATGAGATCACTCATTGTCAAGTCAGCTGCTAATCAAACACAGCCTGATAACTCTGTTTGTGCGGAGCAGGAGCTAAAAGCCTCTGCCACCGTATGATAATCTTAACAAGTTCAACACTTAAACTACATCACGGAGGCCTAATTGTGCTTTATCAGACTGAATGTACTTGAACAGGTGCGAGGAAACGAGAATGTGAACCAAATGTGATTTTTTTTTAACTTGAACCATTTTCGACTTCCCGCTCCGCTTTCGTTCTCGAAACAGCACATGGAGACAGATGACACGCATCGCCTGACACGCCTCCACCTTTTAACCCGTGAGACAGAACACAAGGTCTTCTCTGTTAAACTGCTCATTCTCTTTAAAAGCCTTGGATGTGTTGGTAATGTTAATGTCACCCATAAATTTAATTCCAAAGGTTAATTTCTCACCAACTACTGATATGAAAGAATAAAATTAAAACCAATGACATTTGATACAGGCTCCAATTAACTTCTGCCAAGCAACTGGCAAATTCAGACCTGAGGAGGCGACTGCTTTAAAACTAAATTGGAAAAACTTTTTCGCTAAGACTTTTTCTTCTGACGCTAAAACTCCAAGGAAATGGAGGGGAAAAAAAGGACACCATGTGAATTCTAAGCAATTCCATGTTGGCTTAACTTTGTTATTTCTTTCCCATTGCCAGCGGATGGGGTTTTGCAAAACGAATATGCATTAAAAAAGTAAATAGAAACTATACTCACAGTACAGTAAGTCTGTGTATCAAACAGTAATGAAGATAAGAGAATGCGCCTGATATCTGTTGTGTTTTCCATTATACACACCACTGAATGTGAGGAAGGGAGGTCTAGTTTATTACTAATTCACTTTCAGAGCGGTGGCCAGTATACTAGGCACGTGGAAGCTGTGTGATGCCCCTTTAAAGCACGTGAAAGTGAGTTCCTAGAGCAACAATGACAGGTTTTCTGTTGTTTTTTTAATCAATTATTAGACAGGAGATGAAACGATGCAGGGCAGTAAAAGCCAGATTCCAGATTGTGTTTCCTGAGATGGAAATAAACTAGGTTCTATTAGCGCTCTATTTGGGGAGAGTTAAGAACATTATATGGCCACACATTAACCTTGTTGAATGAAGGGGTGCAATTTTCTCCATATTGATTACCTGTTTTGACGGTCTGCCAGCCTAATGAAAATGGGCTGCGGGCCTGTAAATTATAGGTGGTGATGGGGCTGTGGTTGTCTAAGCCACGTGTCCAGGACAGAGTGGCTGTGGTATCTGTTATCTCCTCCACTATCACCACTCCGGGGGGGCCAGGCGGACCTGGGGGAAGGTAAGGAGACACAGATTAAATTACAGGTTTGAACGCTTTAAACATCACGGCTGATAAATTGACAGAAGGGGGAGAAAAATACAGACAGTAGGAAATGACAAAAAAAAACCACAGCTGTTGTCTGGATCTAAACTGGTTCTTGTTTTGATGTAATTATTATGCATCTTTGCTTTATTTTCAAAAGTGGCATAAATGCAAGAACGTAAGTATTAAAACTTCATGTGCAGTTGTGTGCGGAGGATTTCCATCTTTGGATGCATTTGGCCGATCCTCCTGAGCAGGACAGTGTGGTGGGCCTTCTTCTGTTGCTGTACAAATGAACATATGTTTAGCTTAGGCTTCAGAAGTAAATGTAATCTGCAAGTACAGCAAATGTATAAGGACTCTAGGGGGAACAGCTGTAAATGAAAAGTGAGCAGCTGGTGCACTCTATGAAACCAATCTACTGTGTCCCCAAAAAGTGCCCATTAGAAGGTTACACTGAATGGTGCATTTGCATGTTGGCACATTGAAATGCCAAAGAAAGGCAATCTCCTTCAGCGGCCATGTTGAGCAGGATTCAATGTAAGACACAGTTTCTTTTTGGTGGAATGTAACCAATGAGGGAAAAGGATTTTCATAAAAAAGTATACAAAGTGCTGAATACGTTTCCACAGTAAACAATACCAATGCTGGTAGGAAAGTGGGAGTTGTGCAGGAAAGGGATGATTTTATTTAGTTTATTAATAAAAAACTGAATGTCAACTGAAAGAATCCTCAGGCTAAACACAAATATGGTAAAACCTGCTAGGACCTGACTCTCTGGTTACCTTTTGTTTTGATTAGGTCTCTACTTCATTGAAAATCAAAGAAAATGTGTTAAATTCTGCAATGATTTGTGTTTTATTTTTGCATAAATTTATGTAATACTCTATTGTTTTATTCTTTAGACGAGGTTGTAACCTGGTGCAAAAGACTGGAACTGAATGGAATAGAAAAAGCATGTGTAGAAAGTTGTGTTGACAGTTTCACTGTGACCTGTACCTTGTTCAACCCATTGATACAATTTCTATGTAGAATTCAATAACTACACTATACTTTAACTTATAAGTTTAATCTAATTTATGCAAAAAACGTATTTTCTGGAGGGGCACTTTTTTCCATCTTTTGGCTGGGTTTGCGACTTGCACTAGAAGGCACTCTAGGCTTGTGGTCCAAAATCTGCTGACCCTGTACTGAAAATTTACATGTTCGTTATTTTCACACTGACAGCCACTAGAGGGCACTCTAGGCTGTTGCGATTCTTCTTCTTCTTCTTCTTCATCGTGCAGTTTCTGGCTGGTGTGACTTACAGTGGAAAATACAGTACCCCTCTGTGAGGTATCCCTTGGGTCACTACAAACTGCCAACATCGAGCCTGTGACTAGGTTTGAATTAATAAAATGAGCACACATTCCCCCGCCCTGTGCCTTAGATAAACTAATACAGACAGATTATAAAGTTTGGATATAAAAGGTGATAATATACATTACTTATATTAATCATTGTGATGCCCTACTATTTACATAAGAAATACCAACATTAAGTTGCGATGTTACACAACACTGTCGTCACGAGCTGCTTGACTAATGTCTGCTTCAGTACATGATAGGAAACATTCTCAAAGCGCCACTGACTCTGATCTCAGCGCAGTTCTAGCTGTTTAACAGCTCACATTAAACTTGCTCATGCAGAGAGAGCAGACCGTCTGTCCAGCCATATTCACCACTGCCATAAACATTAGCCAAGATCATCAAAGGTGGCCAATAACATGGAAACATGTGATTGTTTCCAACAGAGACACATTTCTAATGTCTAACCGTCCCACTCCTCAGACTCTGACTAATTTTGTAGAAAAACAGAAAACGCTAACATTATTTAGCAAAATTGCTAAATGCTTGAAAGAACCATATGGACAATGATTTTTGAATTTTGTTATCATTTCCATCATTTGTTTTTACACCCAAACTCCCCCTTTTTTTTACTTGTTGTGTCCTGGAATAAGCGTTCCAACAGGGCATGTGATTTTCCGTTAGAGAGTAATGACTCAACTCTCAGTCTCTATCTCTGGTAAACATGTTGTGTTGCACTGGTGCCTGAACAGATAACAAACTCACCTCGCACCAGAAGTTCAGCCTCTGCAAACACAGAGTCAGCAATGGTCTGTGCCTGACACCCGTACTTCCCAGCATGCTTCAGTAGTATGCTTCTGATCATCAGATCCACAGTGGACGACTGCTGTAATTTGTAAAACAAAACATCAAATGAGGGTGACAGAGTGCATGGAAGACAAAAGAGGAAAAAAAAATGCTGAGCAGCGAAAAGGAAATCTGGGATATTTCTTCGCACCACATGGAGCCTTTTGAGAAATGGCTGTTTAATTCAGGTGCTCGGCCACAGCTACATTCCTCAGCTCACCGTATTATCCCTGTTGAAATGTGAAGTGCCTCAGGCAAAACTGGGAATAATTCAAGGTCTATAGGCAGGTGTTTAGTACGAACCTGATTAAAATTACATAGCGTGCACCCGCTTGGATTCTGTTCTGCCTGTAAAGGATTGTCACTGCAAATACCCGGCCCTTAGAGAGAGAGTGAGTGCAGTTATGAGGAACGCATCAGACATGAGAATGTAGCATCGACTGTTAATGAAACAGTTACACCACATGGCTTTCTGTCAATGTTTTTTTTTTTTTTTTTTTTTTACAGTTTTATTTTTTAAACACTTGAAAGAGTCTAAAGCCTTATATTTACAGTAGGTGATTATACTATATTATATCTCCAGACAAAATAAATCCATGCAGCATTTGTTATCACCCAATATGTAAAAGACAGAATACATTGTGTGATTAATTTATTACAGAATTTAAAACTCACCAATTATAATTCAATTAACGAATTCTGATATTCCAAATTTTAGTTTCTGCTGAAGAAACACTGCAGATGCATTAAATCATCATGTTTCCTCAATGAATAGGGCTCCTAGTCATCAGCCTTCAGGTCACTGTAGTATTACTTTTAAGGTTTTACTATTTACTTTTAAGGCTCCAGCACGATCTCGGAGGTTATCTTTTCATTCTCTTCTGGTTGCTCTCGCTGCTCGTCTCAAAGTCAGGGGAGACTGAACTTTCTCATTTGCTGGCCCAAACCTCTGGGGCGAGGTGCTGCTCCAGGTCAGATCAGGACTGTCTCACTTAATTATTAATAAAAATTGGTACAATATTAGCAGGATTATCTTTTAAAAAAAATAGATCCTTTGAAGTGTAACCCAAAATGTTAAAATATATAAAATAGTATATTATAATAAAATCTATGCTGCCACTCTGACAGACTCCGATACTTACTCGAGCTCTGACTGTTTGGATGTTTTCAAAGTGACCCCCGTACTGCTGGAAGCTGATTGGCCTCTGGTTGAAGAACCACTGGAAGGCCACGTCCAGCGACGTGTCATGTGTGGCCTTGCAGCTCAGAACAACGCTCTCCCCCACGGTGACCTCCACTCTGATTGGGCTGAGCTCCAAACGCATGGCCTCTGAAAACACAAAGCTGCTGCACTGTCATCTCAGGCTAATGCAAATCAGCAGCAGCAGCAGCATTGAACTGTCACACGACACTGCAGTCAAGAGATCTCAGCCCTCAGTGTGACTTGGACTCAATGGACAATGGCCTTTGACCTTCATACCAAACCTGTTCTTTGTCCCTAATTCCGATGTGTGACGATACTGGTAAACATTCAGCATCCATCGTTGTCACTTTTGCCATTTTTTTGAGTAGTGTAGCCTTCTGCACTAACAGCTTCTGATATTAACCCAGTGATCGAACTTTTAACCGTTACTAATGTTAACATTAGTTAACACTATTGCTACTTGGAGCTGCTCAAGTGATCTTATATCCTATATATCCATGCCAATAAACTGAACACTTTATATATTCATATATGTTATGTGCTGATTATTGCATGTAGCTGTTTATATTTATATTTTCATTTTTTCATTTTACTGCTCATGACCTTCCAGCTCTCGATTTGTGATCTTTTGATAGATCCCATTCTACTCATTGGTGACCCCTGTCTTTCACCAGTGCTGAAAATCAATTTATTTATACATCACTTTGTCAATGGATGCTGTTCATCAATATATTGACATATTGATAGTTGTCTTGCCAACAATGTACTTTTGTTGGAAAACAAAACAAAACATTGACACCCAAGATTGCCAGAGTATGTGATAGACAGCACCTTTGTTTAAAAGCGCATGTGTGTCTGTGTGTGTGCCTGAGGGAACAACAAAAAAAACAAACAAAAAAAACAAAAACAAAAGCAGACAGAAAGAAAGAGGGAGAAAGAAAGAGCACATCTAATAATTTACTGCCTTGCTACTCCAAAGACAAACCAAGTGGTACTTTAAAAAAGATACGAGTGCCAAGAGCTTCCACTAGTACGTTATAGGAACTGCAAACAAATCTCATCATTGAAAACAAATAACAAGAACATAAGTCAAGTAAGAGGTCTGAAACCAAACGTGTCTGAAAAGTATCCCGTGTGGTCATTCTTGGAAAAAAAAAACAAAAAAAAAAAAACAATGCCACTGAGACAGCTGTTGATTCCAGAGTCTCAACAGGGCAGACGACACGGAAGACTTCCCGCTGCTAAACTGTGCCCTTGTTATAGCATGATTCTTGAATGTGAGAATCCTCGCTTCACAGTTGACTAAGCGCGTTAAATATCCTGGCAGCGAGCACAGGTTGGGGGTAAAGTGACATTGGGGAGTGTTTACTCCTGTCCAACTTGTACTAATTTGGCAGAAAATAAAGGCCCCTCAAGGCATCACTTACCTTTTACCCACAGTATGGCAGTCATCTCAGCCGAGCCAAACTGATTCTCTGCCCGGCACACGTAGTTTCCCTCATCCGCCCGACTGGAGTTTACGATCCTCAAGGTGTTGTTCCGTAACAACGTAATCCTGAGACAAGGGACACAAAATTCCATAGGGTACATGAGGAACTCACATTCACATGACCAACAATTCAGGAACAAGAGTGGAGAATGGCTGTTCTTTAAGGGTGCATATTGGCAAGAATCTGGCGATACGATACAGGGGCAACGATATGATATATTGCAATATAATGCAATACTATAAGCACAACAATATTTTGACTTTTTTTTAAAGCAAACACCATGAATATTTGCATGCATTAAAAATACAGTACAGTGCTGTAGAATCTCGATACAATATCGTCGAACAAAATATATGTCATGATACATTGGCAAATCTATATTTTCTTACATCCCTACTGTATTTTTACATCTAAAAAAAAATAGTAGTAAATAGACAGTCAAATAGAAAAACAAACAAGACGCTAAACTAAGGAAATAAAAGGTTATTGATGTTTGCATAAATAAATGGCTCATTTCTGTTTCCTTTAACAGATACTGTGAAAATGTTTTTTTATATTAAATAACAATTAACACCTGGTGAGGTGATAGAATGTTTGCTGATGACAGCTAGCACTCAGACACATTAACACAAACAGGAATAATTAAAAGCAATAATAAATAAATATTAAAAATTTAAGGTGATATTTCCCATTTAAAGAATCAGACACATTAACACAAACAGGAATAAATAAAAGCAATAATAAATACATATTAAAAAGTTAAGGTGATATTTCCCATTTAAAACAAAACATTTTAAACAAAACAAAAAATATATCCTGTGCATCTTTTCTCCTGGCTCTAAAAAAAAACATGGTGTTTTTTTGTGAACACAGTGGAATTGAACAGCGCATAACACCACATATGAGGAGAACATTTACATTACATGAAAAAGAAATAAAAAAAAAAAGTTCTTTGTTCCTCTGTCATTGATATTCTATGAATCTGAATAAAAAACACATTTATCAGTTACGATGCTCATTAATCCACCTGACAAACCTCTATGTATTGCTGCATTACTAGGGAAAAAAACACCCGACGTGAACATCAATGAGCTGTTCCCCTGGGAAACGCACAAAGAAAATAACCACAGCGTAAAGGCGTTGTGTAGGTTGTCCCTTGTTTTGCCGAAGGACAACAGTGATGTAGTGTTAACATTCACAACGCTGACTTAAACATATCAGTGTGACGATTGTGTTTCAGTATGATACTGAGCCCAGCAGCAAAAGTTTGTTTGTTTATTTATTAGAGGTCGAAAGAGTACAAAAATATTCCACTCAAGTAAAAAGTACTGAGGTAAAAGGTTTCCAAACCAATATATACAGAAAAAATATACTTTAAACAAAACATATCTAAATAAAAATAAAGTAAAAGTAAAATTAGAGTTTTGAATAGGTGTGTAAGCGTAATAATAACTCCTGAGAAACATGATGCAAGATGACCCCAAAAAAATCCCTCCTGCGACCCACCTGAGGGTCACAAAAAAGCTATGTTATTACAGTGATTTGTTACAGAACATGTAATTTGTTACTTTCCACCTCTGAAATGTATTCAATTCAAATCATAATTATTAATCAAGTGGCTGCTTCACACAAACTGTAAACCTGGGGGTGGGGGTCGAGGGGGTCATTGACTGTACTTTAACAGGAAACAGTTGTTTATGGTAATATGGTATTTTTGGTAAAATACTGACTCTTTGGATGAGAATATACAGTAAAAGTACAGGTGTTTTTTCTTTTTTTAAGGTTGCTACATTTTATTTCAAACCTAAGAATATAGTGAGGCTGGTGGTGTGGTATTATTTATTATTCACACAGTGTTTTACTCACGACTATATATATTATCCATAAATTAAGTTCCCTCATCACGGCCAAGGAGATTTAAATTTCCATGGAGAAATATTGGAGGGCGTGACAAAATCTCCGCACACACGGTCAGCGTGGTGGCAATCTGCAGCCAGGAGACGTTTTTCAAATTAGGCAGGAAATTCACATCAGGTGCACAAGGACACTGAGGCAGAAAGGACAAGATAGGGACTGTTGGGAATACAAAATATGCAAATCACTCAAGTGTAGGAAATTTACAGGGAAACATTAAAAGATTACAGCAAACCTATGGCTTTGGAAAATACTCTGTTTATATTTGTTTTCTTCAAGACAGAACGAGATGAAGTGTTTTCAGCTATAAAATACATTTGAACAGACTGTGAATGTGACTGTGTAAAAAACACACAGCGCTCAGCCTGGTTCTGTGTTTATTGTGTCAGTCAGAACTCTGTCTGTCTGTCACGTACTTTTAAACTCATGGAAATAATACTCTGTAAAGCACTGAACAAACAGCAGCCCCGAAGAATAGCGGAAATCCATGTTAATTACAATCCTTCATTAAGTCGGCACAGCTGTCAATGACAGATAAATGTGAAGCTGTTTCGATTATTGCCCTGTTCTTCTGAGAATAGAATGTTTCTCCCTCCATAAACTTTTTATCTACATTAGATATCACCCAGGGTCTTCCTGGACACAACGTGATAACACAGGTCGCCCCGTGTTACATTTTATCCTCATATAATTGTTCCTTCGAGAGGTGACCCCTTTGACACTACATTCCCCAGGTAATTACTTTACTTTAGTTCTAAGGTTGCCACGAACCTCGTGTTTTAGCATGAAAAAAATTCAGGTTACAAATGAGAAGAAAATCTTTCAGCTCCAGCCAGCAGTTTTCCTCTTATATCTTATTATTCCAGTAGCCTTTACTTAATACAAAACTGGATGTTAAAAAAGAACTCTCCAGACCTTGACGTTCTATCAAAAACATAATGCAACTTCCAAATTGCAGCTAAAAACCCACCTTGATAATGAACCCTGAACAAATCTCTGCATGTCAGCGTAGGGTTCAGCCCGGCAGCCATTTACATGGGTTCACATGGGTGAGTAGTCACTCAGGCTTGAGACTTGGGATCTAAACTCACTCCATCCAAATGATGTCTAATGTTGTCCACTAAACAAAGGAAACCAGTGAGGCAGTCAAAGGAATCCACATTTCTGCTAATCGTTTAACTTCTACTGGTTCATTATTGCTTCTTTTACAGTCTTTTCTGCTCTTGTCCTGTGTTGCTGCAACATGATCATTTCCTCCAGTCTGGGATCAATATGTTTTATTTAATCTAAA